AGATGCCTTGTTAGCCTTGCGGCTAACTGACATCCCGGGCGGCCGGCGAGGGAGCACTTCCCATGAGCTGACTGCTCAGCTTCCTCGCGCACCGCAAAGTGAGGCTGGGAGCAGGAAGATGACGTCATCTTCCGGTTCCCAGCCTCACTCTGCAGCCGACGCGCGAGGGAGCTGAGCAGTCAGCTCATAGGAAGTGCTCCCTCGCCGGCTGCCCGCCCGCCCGCCCTGCCAGCGCCGCCCGCCCTGCCAGCGCCGCCCGCCCTGCAGCCACTGGACCACCAGGGAGAGAGACCCCCCCCCCCAGCACTCCCAAAGGTAAGGAGGTTGGGGGGGGATTTAAATTAAAAAAAAAGTTAATGTGTGTGTGTGTTTGTGTCTGACTGTGTGTGTTTGTGAGTGTGTGTTTGTGTCTGACTGTGTGTGTTTGTGTCTGTGTTTGTGTCTGACTGTGTGTGTGTGTTTGTGTCTGTGTATGTGTCTGACTGTGTGTGTGTGTGTTTGTGTCTGACTGTGTGTGTGTATGTGACTGTGTGTGTCTGTGTGTGTTTGTGTGTGTGTGTGTGTCTGACTGTGTGTGTCTGTGTGTGTGTGTGTTTGTGTCTGACTGTGTGTGTGTGTTTGTGTCTGACTGTGTCTGTGTATGTGTCTGACTGTGTGTGTGTGTTTGTGTATGTGTCTGACTGTGTGTGTGTGTATCTAGAAGGTGGGGCGGGGGGAAGGGTTGGGTGGGGGTGGCGCGGGGGGGAGGGGGGTGCCTGAGTTTTGTCCTGCCTAGGGCAGCACAAAACCAGGATACACCACTGAGTGGGTGTGGTAAATGTTCAAGGTAGTAATTTATAGCTGTGCTGCAAAGTGTCCCTGGAATTTCATTTCAAATGTTGGTAAAAAGGACTCTGGGAAAGCATTGTATAAGAAGATTTGCGATTTCATGTGCACTAGCTCCTTGTACTGGTTTCATATAGAGAGGTGGGGCTTTGGGTGACAGGCAGGACTCTGTTCCTAAGAAGCCTCAGGAACTTTCAATTCCTTTATATTTAAATTTTTTATGGGACAGGGAGGGTAAGGAAACAAAATATAATGCTAGATCTATTTCTTTAGCTTCCGTTCACATGGCGGAAAACTTTGATCTAAAAAAATAAAGTGTGACGAAGTGCCCTTCGCCACTTGTGCCTGGAGAGGACTGCTTGCCCGCCTCTTGCCCTGTGACTGTGGCCCCTGGTTTGTATTGCCCTTTAAAGACATGATTTGGGCATAATGGATTTGTGTTGTGCTGCTGCTGGCCCTTTAAGAATCATCTGGGGACATACTGTGGAGTTACTGGGTGGCCACCATTTCCTGTATCAGAAGCACATGGTGAGAACAATGGATGGCGGCCATTTTAACTCACAGACACTGTTTGGACTTTTCAACACGGTGCCATCTTGCCAGTATTTGGTGCACAGAGACATCGTGCAGTGGTTTTGGACTATACAGCAGGGGACACATTATAAAGTGATTGTTTTTCATTTAGCCTGTATATGTTCTGCAGAATCTGCATTAAACTGTATTTTCCAAAGTACTGAACGGATCTGGGTGAATTTTGGATATGTGGTTCACCCAGATCCCCCGGTTCCAAGGATATACTTTTTATGGGGTTATTGCATGTTTTGGGGTCCCTGTGTGTTTTATGAAACTGTATTATTTCTGGCCAGCAGATAATTGAGCTTTGTGTATTGTAGAAACTCAATTATCTAGCCTGGCCCAGAGGAGGAGTTTTGTGTTGCATAAATTGTGAGTTCTGTGTGCCAGTAAATCAGTCTTGTTCAGCATTAAGCCTTGGCTCATGTTTGGGGGATTGGAGAAATACACTCTGGGGATTGCTATAATCACTATACTCCCCAGAGGTATGATCACTAAGTTTTGCTAAGATTTGTTCCTGCTCTCTGGGGAAAGAGAGGTTCACCCACTGGAAGCTGGATCCTGGCCTTGGGTCCAGGGTGGGTGGAGACAGCAGAGACCCCAGCGCAGTTGCATCGCTGGAAGTGGGGTCTGCAGTGCTGATGGTGTCGGTTGGAGTGCTTGGAGTCCTCGGCAAGCGCTAGGAGCATCGATTGGCGGAGGTACTCAGTGGGAGTGCCAGCGTTCCGTCACATAAAGTTTTATTTTTTTCATGATGGGGGGAGGGAGGAGGGCGATACAGTTCCTTGCCAAGGGCGCTGGAGACCCTAGGTACGCCTCTGATTATATGCCAAATATTGTAACTTCTTTTGTTTCTCTGTGTATCGTTAAGGTTAAGAATCTTCTTTTCACATTCTGATGCAAGTTCTAAAAACGGTATGATTATACGAAATAAACTGAAGTGTATGGCAGAGGTGTAACAAACATTTTCTTAAAGCTGTTTTCATACCTTGCTACCACTAAATAATCTACTAGTGCCCCTCCCGATACCAGGCTCTGGAGCTCTCCCAAATGCCTGACTATTCTTGACTATTGATTTGTAAATCATTATAGCAATATGTGTAAGATCTTCTTGATTTTCATATATTCCAAGATCCAATATAAAACATTAATGGACAATTACAAAATAATCCTAGTGGTGGAATACAAGTCTGGCACTGTATTTAAAATGTATACAACGTGAATAACTAATTAAGAGTAATGGAATGCATTGCGGTTGTTAAGACCCTTGCTTCAGTACCAAGAAAATCTCAAATGGCTGGATCTAAATAGTTTACATAATAAATATGCAACACTCATAATTGTATTATTATTTTTTTATTCATTATGTATTCAAGTATTTATTGATTTACTTTTTTTTTTTCCGACATACTGGCAAGGCCTATTGTGCATATTTAAATGCTTTGCAATGCTTCAACCCAACTTGAAGATGTTCATCATGATCATCTTGTACTCTCTTCGGAAGTTCTTATTTAGAGCTCCATAAACCACTGCATTTAGGCAGCTGTTAAAGTACGCCATAAAATAGCTCACTAGAAAGAGCCAACGTGGAATAGAATTTCCTAATGATGGGTATATGGCTACAGTCAGTCCTATAATATTTAGTGGTCCCCAGCATACAGCAAAAAGCACAAAGACTGCAAACATTGTGATAAAACCCTGAAGATTATAAGGCCATGTTTGAGCTTGGAGATGTCTGTCTGGTTTGACCCTATGTCGCGTATTAAAAACCAATACCCAAATGCGTAGATAACAGTAGCTCACCACCCCAATGGGCAAAAAGAAATGGAAGATTACTACAGCGAGGGTGTATAGTGAGCTAACAGACTGAGAGAATGTACAGGAGAAAACACGAGGGTCATATTGCAAAGATCCCACAAACAGGTTTGGCAAGATGGCTGCCAGAGCCAAGATCCAAACTAACCCTACATAGCAGAACGTGCTGGTGTTGGAGAACAATCGGGGATACCAGCTGTTATGGCAGATATAGCAGTAGCGATTGACGGCAATGCCAGTGATATTGAAAACAGAGCTTATTACACTGAGTCCCATGAAAAATCCACTCATCAGGCAATGTACATGGCCCATTCTCCAGCCTTGATTGAAGATCGCCAGCAGTACCAATGGGTAAGGATAGCAGGCAACAAGCAAGTCTGCTACTGCTAAGCTGACGACAAATGCATTACCTGCAAGGAAGGAAATAAGAGTGTTAAAATTAGCAAACAATAATGTGCTAGGCAGCTATATAAATGTATATAAAATTAAACTTAGATAAATGCCTTTTGTTATTCACTTGCGTCTAATTTTCAGGTTGTTTTGAGTATTTATATCTAGGTTGCACTGTACCTTAGATCAGCGATCTCTCCATTCCTTCTTTTATGAGAGGAGGAAGAAGCTTTTGGATGGGAGAATAGGCTAGAGGTACGGTTAGTGAGAGCATTGTGGTTGAGGTTAATATTATGTTTAGTGTTGGTGTTAGGAATAGTATTGCAGATAGTGTTGGGGTTAAGGTTAGTTTTAGGGTTAAAATTAGGGTTAGTGCAGTGTTAGGGGTATTGTGACTGTTAGGGTTAGCATTAAGGGTTAGTGTTGTTGGTTAGTTCAGGGTGTTAGGGTAAATGCTAGTTGGTTTTAGGGTTAAGGTTACTATTAGGATTATTGTTGAAGTTCGGGTTTGTATTGGTGTTATGGTTAAGATTGCTGTTGGATTTATGGCTAAGATGTTAGATCTAGCAATGGAGTTAGGGTTAATTTTATCATTATGAGTGGTGTTAATAATTGTGTTAGGTTTAAGGTTATTTTTAAGGTTATTTTTGATTGGCCATCAGGCAAACTGGGAAAACACACAAACACACACACATACATTTCATCCCCTTTGCACACACTAGATCCTGTATAGCAAAAACACACACTTCATTTCCTAAACACACACTCTCTACAGCCCCTGCACACACTACAACACTTAAACACACATATACTGCAACCCCTATGGAAACACTCTCTGCATTCCCTATACACACACTTTGCCCCCTACACACACACACACACACTACAGCACCTATACACACACACACACACACACACACACTCTACAGCCCCTATCAGCACCTATTACACCACAAAGACAACACAACTGAAATTGAAACACCACACCAAAATCAGCTCCCTCTACACATGCAATCCCACAAGCAGCCTCCAAACACATGCACAATTCTCTTCCCTGGTCCTTTTGTCCTCTGCAATCCAACTTATTGAGACACCAGAGACAATTCACAAACAAACACACTGCAAGCGTGTCAATAAATCAGCTTGAGCGCACACCTATCACACACCTCTGATAGCTCTATTGTCATTGTCTTATTATACAAAATATATATTGTCACATTACTTAAAATGTATTGCAGTGCAAAATATGTTGCAAACATTTCCAACGTGTCGCTTGAACACCAGCAATAATGTAAACTTTATAAATTTGCTGCAGTCTGAATAAACTGTGTGTGTAAAGTGTTAAAAAATAAGGATTCTGTTATATTCTATTACATTGGATGACTAATGTGTTTATTGTGACAGTCGGAGAAGAGTGGTGTGTCAAGGTTGGGGACTTTAAAACTTGAGCAATGACCCACATCACAGTGATCCTTTCTCATGCAAATGCTTAATATTCTCTTCTACCTGCAAAATATTTGTATTATAGGAAGGGGTGAATTTGCGGTATGTTTAAAGAGGGTGAACGTGTAAACTCCATTGTTAAAATTCCTCTTAATTAAGCTTTTTTTAGGTACAGGTGCTGCCCCTATGGCATTACAAATGCATACATGGCTGTTTCTGAGAAGTGGCATTACACTTTGCAGTTTCCATTCCTACTGGTGGATATTAGACAGAAATAGACTCCCTAACTGAATCTCAAGAGTGTCAGACAGGTCTTGAAGTCCCAGCCCAATGGCAAGAACAGGATCCAAGCCATCAACATATATGCCTTACCACTCATCAGGTACCCAGATGGAATAGTAACCTGGCCAAAAGAAGAGCTAGTCACCATGGATTTCAAAACCTTGAAACTACTCACTATGAATGGAGGATTCCACACGACATCCAGCACTCATAGACTGTACACCAGCCAGAAGGAAGGAGGTCAATGCCTGGTGAGTGTCAAGACCACAGTCCTGGATCAAACACAGAGCATCTACAAGTACACCACAAAGAAGGCTTCCAAAGATGAACCGTTAAGGGAATTCCTGAGACAACATCAGATAGAGTATGTAAAAATAGAGGAGGTTATGTGGCAAAACAAACCTTTCCATGGTGCGGTGTACCACTGGCAAATAGTGGATTGCTCACCTTATAAAATCCTACCAGTGTTCGGAAACTGCAAGACTGAAAGACAGCACTGAGGCAGCACTAGCAGTTCAGGAACAGACAATCAGCACCAGATCAATAGAAGAATAGGGATCCATGGCAAAACTCTCATGGAAAATTACATAGTTGATGCAGAGTCTGGTTTTAATCCATAAAGGGCATAAATCACCTAACATCCCTAAATTGGTATGATGTTGTATCGATCAGGTAGTGTAAGGGTTACGTCCGCTTCACAGTGACAGACCAAACTCCCCGTTTAACGCACCGCAAACAGTCCATTTGCACAACCGCAAACTCCCCATTTGCACAAGGTTGGATACCAAGCTAGCCATGTCCGTTCCTTGTCCTCACTGATGTCATTGAAGGTCTCTTCCTCCACCCAGCCACGTACAACACCAAGGGTCCCCGAAAGGTGACAACAAGCCCCCTGGGACGCCTGCTGTGTTTGGTCTTCCACCTCCTCAAAGCCACCTTCCTCCTCTGACTCCTCTTCTTCAGACTCCTCTCTCTGCGTTGCCTCTCTCTGCGTTATTATAAGGTGTGTTAAGTAGTACTATTCCTATCAGTTTAATCCCTGTTACGTCCCCTATCAGGGGACGTGTATATGGCATGGATTTTAGGAACCGGGAGATGGAAAAAGATGCTTGGTCGGTCCTCCTACTTCAAATTTGGGGCACTGCGCGTGCAATCTAATGTGCCACCAGATAGGAGTGGTGTGTTAAGTAGTACTATTCTTATCAGTTTACTCCCAATGTCATGACTACTAGTGTGGCCAGCACGTAGAAACTATGTAAACATATACATAGGCAAGAAAAGGAAATAAAAGGACAGAGCGTAAACCGGACCTTAGAATGGCCGGACTAATACGCTAGAGACAGATAATGGTCAAAGGGAAAGCCGAGGTCAAGGAAGCCAGAAAATACACAATACCGTTTACACAAGCCAAGTCAGGGAAACCAGAATTCAGAATAACCAGGGAAAAGCCAAGATCAGGATACCAGGAAATCAGATTCACAATGATAAAGCACTCTCAGGAAACCAGGAACAGGAAACCACGACAGGGTAAGGTACTGGGGTGAGCTAGGGATTTAAATATCACGCGGCGGGCCGGCAGCCGCAACACCCTGTTACGTCCCCCTCATCAGGCCTTTTTTAGTCGAATACGCTCACTGTCAGTCCCTTCGGGATCCATCCCTCATTAATATTAATAAAGGTGAGGTAATCTAGACTTTTTTGACTTGGCGACTTCTCTTCTCAGTGACAATACCTCCTGCTGCACTGAAGGTCCTTTCTGACAGGACACTTGAAGCGGGGCAGGCCAGAAGTTCTTTCGCAAAGTGGGATAGCTCAGGCCACAGGTCAAGCCTGCACACCCAGTAGTCAAGGGGTTCAGACACACAAAAAAAATGCCACACTGCTGAGCTCTGCAATGACGGCATTCTGGTGGTGGCAACAGCATGCGTTGATTGGCGTGCTGTCTGGCTGACCCCGGGTGCCGATGCATGCTGTCTGACTGTGCCACTAGCTGTAGGCCTGACACACACGCTTGCAGACAACTAACTGCTATTCAATCTATTACAGTCAAAATTGTATTATTTTTTTTTTTTAAATGTACACTACTGTTACACCAGATATGAGTTGCACTGGTGTGACACTGTGCCCTGGCAGGCCCTGAAACGCACACACATGAAGTAAACTGACTGCTATTATATTACAGTCCAAAACGTTTTTTTTTTTAAAATGCAAGCTATTGGGACACCAGTGAGTGAGTGGTGGCACTGGGCAGGCCCTGAAACGCACACTAGTGAAGGAAACTGACTGCTATTATATTACAGTCAAAAAAGTTTTGCTTTTTTTAAATGCCCTGAAACACACACTCGTGAAGGAAACTGACTGCTATTATATTACAGTCCAAAAAGTTGTTGTTTTTTTTTAAGTGCAAGCTATTGGGACACCAGTGAGTGAGTGGTGGCGCTGGGAAGGCCCTGAAACGCACACTCGTGAAGGAAACTGACTGCTATTATATTACAGTCAAAAAAAAATAATTTTTTTTTTTAAATACAAGCGATTGTGACACCAGTGAGTAAGTGGTGGCACTGGGCAGGCCCTGAAACGCACACTAGCGAAGGAAACTGACTGCTATTATATTACAGTCAAAAAAGTTTTGTTTTTTTTAAATGCAAGCTATTGTGACACCAGTGAGTGAGTGGTGGCACTGGGCAAGTGGGCACAGTATATGCTGTGAGCCTGACACACAGGCTGGCAGGCAGGCAGGCAACTGCAATTACATTACACAGAAAAAAAAAAGCAGACTGATGTTCTAGGCCTGACACACACGCTTGCAGACAACTAACTGCTATTCAATCTATTACAGTCAAAATTGTATTATTTTTTTTTTTTTAAATGTACACTACTGTTACACCAGATATGAGTTGCACTGGTGTGACACTGTGCCCTGGCAGGCCCTGAAACGCACACACATGAAGTAAACTGACTGCTATTATATTACAGTCCAAAACGTTTTGTTTTTTTTAAATGCAAGCTATTGGGACACCAGTGAGTGAGTGGTGGCACTGGGCAGGCCCTGAAACGCACACTAGTGAAGGAAACTGACTGCTATTATATTACAGTCAAAAAAGTTTTGTTTTTTTTAAATGCCCTGAAACACACACTCGTGAAGGAAACTGACTGCTATTATATTACAGTCCAAAAAGTTGTTGTTGTTTTTTAAGTGCAAGCTATTGGGACACCAGTGAGTGAGTGGTGGCGCTGGGAAGGCCCTGAAAGGCACACTCGTGAAGGAAACTGACTGCTATTATATTACAGTCAAAAAAATTTAATTTTTTTTTTAAATACAAGCTATTGTGACACCAGTGAGTGAGTGGTGGCACTGGGCAGGCCCTGAAACGCACACTAGCGAAGGAAACTGACTGCTATTATATTACAGTCAAAAAAGTTTTGTTTTTTTTAAATGCAAGCTATTGTGACACCAGTGAGTGAGTGGTGGCACTGGGCAAGTGGGCACAGTATATGCTGTGAGCCTGACACACAGGCTGGCAGGCAGGCAACTGCAATTACATTACACAGAAAAAAAAGCAGACTGATGTTCTAGCCCTAAAAAGGGCTTTTTGGGGTGCTGTCCTTACAGCAGAGATCAGATGAGTCCTTCAGGACTGTAGTGGACACTGAATACACTAGCCTAGCTATCAATTTCCCTATCAAATCAGCAGCAGCTACACTGTCCCTCCTCTCACTAAGAATGCAGCTTCACAATGAATGTAAAATGGATGCTGTCCAGGAGGTGGGAGGGTCTGGGAGGGAGGGTCTGCTGCTGATTGGCTGGAATGTGTCTGCTGATTGTGAGGTACAGGGTCAAAGTTTACTCAATGATGACGAATAGGGGGCGGACCGAACAGCGCATATGTTCGCCATCCGTGGCGAACGTGAACAAGCGATGTTCGCCAGGAACTATTCGCTGGCGAACAGTTCAGACATCACTATTTACTAATACTAAATAATCTTTACTTAGTATTAGTAAATTTGGCTGAAAGACCAATTCAGGTCTTTCAGCCTTTTAGTAGATAGCTCCCTAATACCGTGGGAGTTATCTACTTATTCATTCCTGTCATTACACTGACTGGCCAAGTAACTTACATTTTATATGAATGTATATTATTTGATTGTTGTAAGTGTTGCAAATGCTTACAGCTGAATCCTGGCTATGTTTGTATACTTTTTATTTAAAATTGTATACAGTGTAACATTCTTCTTCTTCCACTGAGTAAGCATATCAGTACTTAGGCAATACTGTGCTTCGGAACTTCGGCAATTCGGCACTTCGGAACTTCGGCAACTTCGGAACTTCGGCACTTTAGCATTTCGGCACTTCGGAAATTCGATAATTTCAAAACTTCGGGACCTCGGTAATTCAGCACTTCGGCAATTCGGCTATTTGGACATTCGGAAGTACCCGAATGTCCGAATTGGCCGAAATTCGTCCGAATTCATATTTGGCCCGAAACGAATTGCACATGTCTAATACATTGAGAGGTACAACCAAGTTGCTGGAATTGTGTACCGAAATATCTGAACTGGACCTGCCTGGGAGTCCAGATGGGAGATACTACAAAGGGTTGTTAAAAATGGCAGGGCTCGAATCCTTTGGGGCTTTCAGATCAGGCAGACAAACAAGTATTGGCCATCCAACCTGACTTCATGGTGGTATACAAGGAATGAAAGATTGTGTATGTGGCAATACCTAGTGACCATAACCTCACAAAGAAGGAACATGAGAAGGTGGACAAATACCAAGTATTGAAAGAGGGGCTAGAAAGCATGTGGAAAGAGCAGGCAGTAGTCTCAGTTGTGATAGGAGCACTCGTGGCTGTAACTCCCAAGTTGGGTGAGTGGCTTCAACAGACTCCAGGTGGGACATCTGAGATCGCTGTCCAGAAGAGTGCAGTTCTAGGCACAGCTAAGATACCCGAGAATGAAAAATAATTTTATATATATATAATTGTAATTATTATTTCTTTAATTAGTGAAGGGCAATACAGAATTATGTGTCAATGGGCATCTGTAAAAAATGCAATGACCCTATAGTAATGTAGTTTGTGTTAGGAAGTTGAACAGACTGTACAAAATGTTGATGACGATGTTAGATTCCTTTGAAGTAAAGTAAATCTTTATCTCTTTGAAGGCTAATTAGAACACTGGCTTACTCTCTGTGTGCCCTGTGTGCTGACTTCCACATTGTGACAGAGATGTAATCAATAAAAAAAAAAAAGTAATGAAATTCTATTCTGATGTTTTTCTGTATCACTGTGTGTTCAGGATTACGTGTGATATTTGGACAAGGACAGAAATGAACAATTTTTTTCAGTTGAAAAGAGCAAAAAACTTAGGTTTCCTATAAAATTATCTAGTATTTGTCCCTCATTATTATTATGGATAATAAATACACTGAGTCAGAAAGACTATTATTTGCAACTTCTGCTTCAGAAATGGACTTTACCCCAATGTTATAACTGAATCAACTAATGGTGTAAACCTGTTTTATCTTCCTTCTGTACTGAATAGGATGCTGCAATGATCAGAAGAGTATCAGCCAAACAGATAGGAATGCCTGTAGCTTGAAGCAGGATCTGGGCTTCAGGAGCAATTAAGATAGGCAGCTGCTCATCAACCCCCAAAAGATGGTTTTCACTGAACATGCATTCAAACCTCTGTCTTAAAAATGGATGCACTGACTTGTAATTTAGCTCATGAAGTGTAATAATGTACTCAACTCGGAGTCTCTGAATAAATATTTTCTGCACTGCTGTTTAAGTGGTAGAATTCAAACCAAAAACTGTTAATATAGAATGTTCAAAGCAAATTTAAACAAAACTGCAAAAATTAGTCTAAAGTAGCTTATCTGAAAAATAAAAACAAGAAGAAAAAAAACCTCAACAATAGACAAAGCTTGGCAGTTTTTTGGCCTCCGTTTTACAATTTGGACTTAAATCACTCAAATACAGAGTTTAGTTAACAACTCTGATACACGCACGCTGATACAGACTGATATACACTCAGTCAGAAACACCAACAGATTCACAACTCAAGGTACACATATCCATTTCCAAACAAACACAGGGATACATATTTGCTGCACACACGCAGCTGACAAAAGGGGACCATAGATATCAGAAACAGTGCTGCTGGCAAAATACCGCATGACGATATTATTGTGTTATTATTCCTTTAGGGAAGGACAACCATGACGGAATCATTTCATCATGCGACAATAAGGGGTTAATCTATAATATTGTGCATGACAGTCAAATTTCAGCAGCAGATGTAAATGTACAAGATGTAAATCTTTGTTACATAGTAGCAGGCTATGCACATTTTCTAATTTTTTTCCCTATTGCCTTCTGGTCACTGCACTCAATGTGCCTATACTTTAGATCAAATTACTCATTCCTATAGAGGAGGGAAAGATTCATATTAAACAATGTAATTGCTCTTTCAGTCAGCATGCATTTTAATATGCCCCTCTTCCATATTGTATACTGGATTCACAATAGGGAACAAATGTACAAAAACTACAAATATCATGTATATGTTTTGCAGTACACTGATAGGCACATTTTCCTGCCATTTGAGGCACAGTCAATCAAGTGAGCAGAGAAGCCAAAAGAGAAAAAAATTAGGAGCAGTAACAAAAATGATATTTATATATTATATACTTATTAAATATATAATAAATGAATATAGAGGTTTTTTTTCACTGGTCATCCTTTTTCCTCTATTGGTCAGTTTTCACTTGATCTCATTTAGTGGCTGTCCCCTAACCATCAATCTTAATTTTTCCTACAATTTATCTTTTTTTTTAGGCCATCAGACGGAATTCCCAATCACAAATCAAATAAAATGTCTTGTTCACACACTCAGTCAGAATTGCACATACACACTTGCAGGCACATACACATGGACACAATACCAGAGACACAGACACACTCAGCCCTTTCCCCCCTTTACACTTCTCAGGCTTACTCAGCAATCAACCATCACACACACGACTTACAGAAAAAGAGAGCATGGGTCTAGGAGGTGGGCCCACAATTCCCCTAAACAAATGAGTGCAGGTCAGACTCGGGATAAGAAAAGTATGCTTGAGGAAGGCAAACTGGTATTGTTTGCAAAACGTTACAAACCTGGATGAGCAAGTTCATCTGAAAATCAGGAAACATAAAGCTTACTAAACAATCTACCAGCAGACATTGTGACCAGTAAAGCAGAATGCATACCTAACATTCATGGCATTACTGGCAATGGAGCCTTGTGTCATCTTCAGAGCTTCCCTTCATCTCTGCTTCTTGTTATGAGTCCATTTTCCCAGACCTTAAGTGTATCCCATGGTTATGTGCACTCTTCATTCTGTCCCCACCTTTTGCATTGTTAGCAGTTTCTTCTGACTCCATTTTAGTACTGCTATTCCCCTCAGCTTCAGCAGCCCTTTACAACTTAGTCCTTTTTGATATAGCAACCATTATTTCAGGACATCCCAGAGCTACCTAAACATTGTACCTTCTTAGAAAGGACTGCATAAGGATGCAGTTCCATATGAAGTGCTGTTTCGTTAAAGGGTCACTGCAAATCATTGAAGTGGTCTTTGTGCTGTGTCCCTTTTACACTTAGTGCTGCAATGTTAAACATTACAGTTCCAGAGAAACTGCAATGCTTACATTGCAGCGCTAAGTCTACCCACAGTGGCTGTCTACCAAACAGCCACTAGAGTGCTTTCTGAATTGAAACAGACCTTTGGTCTGGTATTTGACACTGGACATCCTCACGCTCTGCATTTCCACGCATGCGCATTAGGTCTCCCCCGCCGGCTGACATCAGCAAGGGAGGAGCGTGGGTGGAGCCTGACCCAGCGCCGAGGGACAGGGAAAGGGGGGCACCTTAGAAACCTATAGTGCCAGGAAAACTGTTTTAAGGACATAATGTACTAAACTGTAGATTAGTTTCCTCTTGCATGCATCAGACGGCATTGGCCATTATTTTGTGAGATATAGTAGATGAAATCCAGAATATCCACTCCATTTGTATCTATGATTCTACCCATTGGCCTGGTTTCTTAATTTGCTGCTGTGTTAGCTTAATACAAGTATAGTTAACTTAAAGGACCACTATAGTGCCAGGAAAACATGCGTGTTTTCCTGGCACTATAGTACCCTGAGGGTGCCCCCACCCTCAGGGACCCCCTCCCTCAGGGACCCCTTTCTCAATGCTTTCCTATGGACGCTCTGCGCGATGGAGGCATAATATGCCTCCAGCGTCGCAGATGCGCCTCTAGTGGCTGTCCGGAAGACAGCCACTAGAGGCTGGCTTAACCCCAAATGTAAACATAGCAGTTTCAGAGACACTGCTATGTTTGCATCTGATGATCTGAAGGGTTAAAACCTGAGGGAACTGGCACCCAGACCACTTCACTGAGCTGAAGTGGTCTGGGTGACTCTAGTGTCCCTTTAAGTGACTCTGCTTTGTCCTTTCTCTGCAAACTGAGCCTGTTCACCCCAAACCGTTACACTTGCACAGGCAGATGTCAGAAGAGGGAGGACTTCTGCCTGACCAGGAAGAAATTCCACCAATCAGGAGCCTCTCATGTTTTTCTATGGCGCTTTTTTATTATTCCAGTCTCATGTGCAGCGTGGATTTATGGTATACGTATTTCATAGATGCAGTTCCAGTCATAAGAAGAGTGAAAATGCTCCATAAGCTGATTGCAGGCATAACACAGGTTCTGTCAGTTTATACCCAGCCCAGTTAACAGTTTTGTAAAACAGAATGACTGCAAACCACTACACATGCATGCGTAGTGCCTTCCTTGGGCTCCCTCCCTCACGTAGCACACACACACGTGGCATGACCCCGAGACAGCTAAGGAAGAATTAAAACTTTCTCCTTTAGAAGAAAGACAAGGGACATGCTTCTAGGTGTACAATTTTTATATCCCAAATGACTGGAGTTGTAAGTCAGTCTAGGAATGGATGGAGTGATGCAAAGTTGTTATGGTGCTTTGAGTGGGCACAGAAGCACTGTAAAGCCTTATCTTGAAGCATTCCCCAATATATGATGAAGAGAAAATCCATATCTCCCATGGACCGACAAGTGCATATTTATTTTAATTAGACACATACAGAGACATATGGATGGAAAAAAAGAGAAAAGAAACAGACATTTTCACAAGCAGTGCTTACAAAGGTCAAGCATTTTCCTTAAATTGCTATGTGATTGGAAAACCGTGCATGGTGCAAAATGTATTTACATCAAATCAATAAAAAGAATTTCTACCCCACTATTAAAACATTGACAACATATACACAGGACTTGATTAAAATAACTAGAGGATTTTGCCTTAACATTGTGCAGGATCAAAAATATATTAATGAATACTTTTTATGTTTTGGAAGTGGTTATGAAATTTAGCTATTATTGCTGTGTAGCATATAATAAATTAATGAAATAAGTTCATTGTGTAGGTATCTATGATCTGCTTTAAGCGGTGACCTTTAGTGTCTTTTGTTGGAGACAAAATCAAGCTGTATTGCTCTAATTGCCATGATGAATGGCTTCACTCTAGCCCTAAGACTGCTAATCGACCCACTGTGGCACAAATTCATCCTACATAGAATGAGAGACATTCCTGTCTTCTTTAAGCCACATATAATGTATATTTGACCTTGTGTACAGAATTATAGAACATATACAAAGCATGCTCTGTAAAAAACATGCTTTCAAAGATGCAATTCTTGATGTCAAATAGCAGAAATGCCTAAAAACATGGTGACCTTTCCAATAGTGATGAACTCTTTGTAGGTTTATTCATCACGTAGTGAATTTGTGAGCACTGTGTAGAAATGAAAACTAAATGACAAAACTTCATCAATAATAGCTGAACTAAATAAATGATCCATTTAGTTTACTTTTCCAAGTTGGAAAGCTTAGCCTCCTAGGTGGTGTCATGTCAATCTACTGAATAAAAGCACTAGGAATGACAGAGCTAAAAACAATCAGGGTTATTAACTAAACACATTTTAGTGAATTAAATCTGAATGGCAAAATTGAAGCTAATACAGATAAGCGTTGACTAATCCCGAGTTGAAGAATTTTTTAAAACTAAGCTACTTTAGCCTCAATTTTGTCATCCGGATTCAAGTTGCTAATATTTATAGTTTAGTGAATAATCCTGTTACGCATTTACGTTAATTTCATTTTTATTTTAAGATTTAATTTAATTTTAAAAAAGCATCCAAAAGTTTATATTCTAATATGTAATTACCTTAAATATATACAGAGTAAAAAACGATTGGTGTATATTTTGCTATGAATTTACAAAATTGCAATGTGTTCATAAAATAAATTTATGTTTTTTCAATGTCACTATATGTTTAGTGCATAACCCTGTATGTTACACATCTCCTTCAATTTCATTTTTAGTTTAAGATTTCATTTTATAAAAATAGCATCCAAAAGTTTATATTATAATATGCAATTACTTAAAATATATACAGAGTAAAAAATAATATTGGTGTTTTGCTGTGAATTTACAAAACTGAAATGTGTTTGTAAAACACATTTATGTTATTTTAATGTTGCTATATCTTTTAACTTCTAAAGGACCAATGACATTCGGTGTCTTTATGACAATTTGGCCACACAGACCCTATACCGACATGGGATATCCTACTAATGCAATAGAACCCTGCTGTTGCTGAGTAGGACATCCCATGCTAGACTACGATCTCTAAAGACCAGATAGTTATGACGACATAGATTGGCAACCTTTGGCACTCCAGATGTTGTGGACTACATCTCTCATAATGCTCTTACACCCATAATGCTGGCAAAGCATCATGGGAGGTGTAGTCCAAACCATCTGGAGTGCCGAAGGTTGCCTATGCCTAGACCATCATTAGTCCTTAACTTAAAATACTAACCAGTTAATGCCCAATGCCCTTATTAAAGTTCAGAGTTGAAAACACTATCTTGGAAACATTAACAAAGAAAAACCCTAATGTCTCTAAACTAGTGTGAATTGAGATATAGCCTCTTACCCAGTTTCCAAAGTCTCTTATTCCTGAAGACAGATGTGATGACCAAAAGGTTTCCAACAATGTCACCACTGATTGTCACAACCAAGACTGTTGTTAGTGTACTGATGACCCAGGTAGGGTATTCCCCATCTTCTTCCTCCAAGTTCCCCAGGGTATGTCTCTGGGTGGTCCCTTCCTCCATTGCAATCACACCAGTTCATGCTCTGTCATATAATCTGATAGTTTATTAGAATAAGAGACAAGTGCTCCTTTTCCTATCTGTGTGACAGCATCAGTCAGGGAGCATGCATTGCTACTGTGCTACTCACAGCAACTGTATGACAAGCTAGACTTCCCTCCCCTTACATCATATAATAGGTGGTAGTCTTGATTTATATTCCATTCATAATTTTCTTGGTAGAGTCACTAAGATTTGCTATGGTGTGCAGGCAGCCTCTCGGAGAGCATTGCTAGAATGCAAGCACTCAGTTTATCCTGGTGGAAGTTACCTGCTGTCATTGCTTATTGCACAATCATTGTATCCAAATAATCTTTGAAGAAACCATTGTTTCTTGTAAATCATTTGATTCAAATAATCTTTGAAGAAGCCACTCAGATGGGTCTGTGGAAAATGAGAGTGATTATGACTCCAGGTAGCAAATAGTGCACTACATTCCCATCTGAATCTCACAGAGCAACACATGTACATTGAGAATTTTAGGAGATTACTATGCAAACTATTCTTCTTGTCTGTAGTGTCCTGTGAAGCTCACAAAGAGAGAGACAGCGATAATTCACTTTCACTTGTAATCTGCTTATTATGAAATGTCAGAGCTATTACTAATTTATATGTACATAACAGCGCTATGCACATATAAAGCATTATTGAAGGTATTTTTATTTTAAAATCTTTGGGTTTCAGTCTATCCTTTCTTTTTATTTTGCTTCTAATTCCTTTGCGTAAACATGTAATTAACCCCCTAGTTACTTGGGTGTCCAATATTCCAATGCTTCATGAGGCTGTTTTGGCACTTTTGCTAATCTGTGTGCTCTGTTATTGCATGCCTTCTCATAAACAGCACACATACATACTAAATATTGGTTTTAAGGGATCTTTTCTAATAATACCTTATTTGTACTGCAAAACACAATAAGTATGAAGAAAATATTTTAAAAAAGGAAAGAAAATAAAATTAGCTATATTCGCACACAATGCTTATATTTGTTATACAATGAAGGCGTCTTGAGATAAATACCACAAAATAGGTTAATTTATTAGTCCTTGCTATGGCAGTGCCGCGGATGTGGAGGAAATTTGTTTTTGAAACTTAAAGAGAAGGAGGGATTACAGTTTTTTAAGCTAAATGTTTGCAAATTTGTATATGCTTGGACTTTGAAGTTTAAAGCATTACTCCAAACACCATAACAGCTTTGTGAGCATTGTTACAAAGTATTTGGTGCAGAAACTACCCTGCTTCCACCTGTACAAGCGTGAGTGCCTATAACTTCAGAAACAAAAGCCAGAATCAGGAAGCCAGAATTCTTAGTTCAGCATTGCCTATATCATGGGTAGGCAACCTTTTAGCAGTACTGTGCCAAAAAAGATGTTGAAGGTACTTGGTGTGCCGGTCCCATTTTTTAAATTCAGGTGTGTATGTTGCCGTATTCTGCTTGTGTTATTTATGGGTTCTGAAGTTACTTTGTAGCTTTGTATTTGTGTGTATGTTGACTGTTATATTGTATAAGTTCATTAACAGTTTGTTGTATTGTGTATGATACCTATGAATGTGTGCTGTGTATGGGGGCTGTTTATGGATTTGTGTGTGGATGATATGTCGCATTGTGTGTTTGGTGGTGTGTGTATGTGTGGGGCTGCTTCTGGTATTGCATGTGAGAGACTGCTTGCTGGGTTGTGTGCGTGTATGTGGATTGCCAGTGGTGTTGTGTTTGTGTGGACTGTGTGTGTTTGTGTGTAGAATATTTGTAATTTGTATGAGTGGAAGGTTTATTCTGCAGCTCTGTGAATATCTAGTAGTGTGGGTGGTTCCCAGGGGTCCAGTAAGGACCAGACTGGCTATGTATAGGTCAAGGGCAGGAACTGCAATAGCTGCTGCAGGCTGCTCTACTCCAGTGCAGATTTCCATTCACAAGTGCTGGGAGGAAGTGATCTGAGATCCCTTGACTACTTTTTACACTAGCAGATATCTGAAGTTCAACTGGGACTCCTAATAGGCCAGAGCCTGTGTGGCGCTGGCAGCCTGGAGTGCCGTGCAAATGCACCTCAAAAGCCATAAGCTGCTGACCCCTAGCCTATGTCAATTATTGAATACACTAGCTTTTGTGAAGAAATAATTTTAATTATAATAATGACAGGAGGAGAATATTCTGCAAACCTTCTTTATTGCATGCATGTAATTTTCCAAATACTTTCATTAGTCTCTTGTATCTAGGATAGACTTATGCCTATCCCACGCATGCTTAAACTCCCTCACTGTATTAACCTCTACCACTTCAGCTGCATCTACTGCCCTCCCAGTAAAGTAATACTTCCTGATATTGTTTTTAAACCTTTGCCAGTGGCATCTCTAGGATTCATTTTTAGGGGGGGCACATGGAGGGCCAGGGACAAAAGTAGGGGGCCACAGTTTGACCCCGCCCCTGTCGCATGTTAAGCCCCGCCCTGACACAACGTGTTTTGTTTTTTTAATAATCCCTGGTGGAGGATTCATTATTTTCCACCAGGGATTATTAAAAAACAAACACATTACCCTTGATACAGTGCCATAGTTGCCAACAATTACTATCAATTACTGTCTGGGTATAATATCCCTGGACAGTCAGTGCTCTCTGTATAATACAGGGTTGTGTGTATAATAAATTGGGACACTCAGTGCTCCCTGTATAGTGCTGCTTTCTGTATAATACAGGTCTGTTTGTGTATAATATCCAAAGACGGAGAGCAGCACTATACAGGGAGCACTGACTGTCCCAGGATGTTATACAGGCACAGGCCTGTATTATACAGAGAGCAGCACTATACAGGAAGCACTGACTATCCCGGGATATTATATACACACAGATCTGTATTATACAGATAGCTGAGCATATACCCCATGTCCCAATCTCTAGACTACTAGCACCTGTCAACAGCAGCTCCCAGACCCGTGTAACAGGGCTAAAGTGTGCGGCAGCTCACACAGATGATTCAGCGGTAAAGTGCACTCGCTGGCAGAGCCAAACTGGGAATCCCTGGGAATCCAAAGCAGCCCTGGAAAAAAAATGTATGCCATTCCTACAAGTCAATATATATATATATATATATATATATATATTTATATATATATATATATAGTACAGTAAGCACACAAGCTCACTGACATGCGCAAATAGGCTTACTGACAGACAAAACTCTCTGACTCACACACAAGCTTACTACAGACAAACTCACTTGTATAAACAGAAGGCTCACTACAAAGAAGTTCAGGGACACATACAAGCTCACTAAAGACAAGCTCACTGACACACATGCTCACTAAATAGAAGCTCACTGACACACACAAGCAGTACAATTTTAACAGAGTTAAGGGCCCCCGAGCAAAGCAATGCACTGGGGCCCTTCCTACACAACAACTCACAGGAATTTTAATTATTGATAGACTGCTGAGTCCATACACACACAGACTGTTGAGTCCATACACACACACAGACTGCTGAGTCCATGCACACTCACAGACTGCTGAGTCCATACACACACACACACACACACACAGACTGCTGAGTCCATACACACACAAAGACTGCTGAGTCCATACACACACAGACTGCTAAGTAAATACACACACACACAGACTGCTGAGTCCATATACACACACAAACTCTGCTAAGTCCGTACACACACAGACTGCTGAGTCCGTACACACACAGACTGCTGAGTCCATACACACAAAGACTGCTGAGTCCATACACACACACACAGACTACTGAGTCCATACACACACAGACTACTGAGTAAATACACACACACACAGACTGCCGAGTCCATATACACACACAGACTCTGCTGAGTCCGTACACACACAGACTGCTGAGTCCATATACACACACAGACTGCTGAGTCCATACACACACACAGACTGCTGAGTCCATACACACACACACACACACAGACTGCTGAGTCCATATACACACAGACTGCTGAGTCCATACACACACACACGCAGACTACTGAGTCCATACACACACACACAGACTACTTGAGTCCATACACACACACACAGAATGCTTTAGTCCATACACACACACACAGACTACTTGAGTCCATACACACACACACAGACTGCTGAGTCCATACACACACACAGACTGCTGAGTCCATCAACACACACACAGACACACACACACACAGACTGCTGAGTCTATACACACATACAGACTGTTGAGTCCACACACACATACAGACTGCTGAGTCCACACACACACAGACTGCTGAGTCCACACACACACACACACAGACTGCTGAGTCCACACACACTCACACCCCGTGTGAGGGCGGCAGTGTATGTGTGGGACAGTATGTGTGTGTAACAGTTGCAGTGTGTGTGTGAGTATTGCAGTGTATGTGTGTGTATGGGGCGGCAGTGTATGGGGGTAGTGTGTTTGTATCGGGTAGTGTATGTGTGTAGAGTGTGTGTAGGGGGCAGTGTGTGTGTAGGGGGCAGTGTGTGTGCATGGGGGGCAGTGTATGTGTGTAGAGTG